ATTCCCCAGCCAGCATGGCTGGCTGAGGAATTCTGGGAGTTGAAGTCCACCCATCTTCAAGTGGCCAAGGTTGAGAAACACTGGTGTAGATATTCAGAAGTTGACTTCACTTTCCAGACTTGACTTGTCCTTGCGCTCTCAGGAACTTTTCATTTGCAAGGATTTCATAGGCAAGGATTTCGGCTGTAGCAAAGGGAATTTTTCTAGGGTTGAGGGGGGATGCAGAGGTATTGTACCCCAGGACCTCCAAAATCCTAGCACCCAGCCCCCTTTGCCGTGGAGGTGGTGACCTCTCTTGCTAGCATATTATTTGGGGCATGGGGTGGTGTTTTTATTTTCTCCGGTTAGAACCGGGCAGAGCAAATGTCCTCAATCACGACACTGAGCTCGTGAGAGTCGTTCCTGAATTAAGCTGGGAATATTCCTTTTTTTTTTTTTTTTTAAAGATGGAACTGGCATTGGTCATCTTCTTGCCTCCAAATCTCGATTGGAAGGAAGAAGGTAGAGTGCCTCTGAACACGGAGGTTCCATTTAGCCATACCGTGTGCAAAATAACTTAAAAAAAAACAAAACTCCAAGGGAGTTGCTCGGGAAGCATATTGTCCTGCTCACGCGAACTCTTCTGGAAAAGCGGTTTCTTATTCCTCAGTGGCAAATGCTTTCGATTCCTTCGCTCCCAAACTTCTGATCCCTTCGCCGGCGTCTCGCTCTCTTGCAGGAAGTCATCGAGGCCATTGCGGAAAGCGCATTCAAGACGTCGCCCTTCCCTGTCATCCTTTCGTTTGAGAACCACGTTGATTCGTGAGTAAGCTCCAGAGGCCCCTGTGGGAAACGCCACCCCTTTTCATGGATGCTCTCGGCCAAAAAAACACGATTTTTGGTGATGTTCCCCTTTCCAGAGCGAAGCAGCAGGCTAAGATGGCCGAATACTGCCGGAACATCTTCGGAGACGCCCTGCTGATCGATCCCTTTGACAAATATCCGGTGCGTCCGAGAAACAGCAGGAGGCATGATGTGTTGAAATGCTAAAGAAGATGAACTTATACACGTCCCCAAATGGGCTTGAGGCTCCCCAACGTGGTGCCCTCCGTTGTCCTGGGGTGCCACGTTCTGCAATGAATAAAGGCGTCGGATTTGAAGCGGGGAGACCCTGGCCTTCTCCCTCTTCTGCAAATCAAGTTTTCTTTGTATTTTCACCCAGCGCATTTTCCAACCCGTCTTTCCCCCTCTTCCCGCAGCTCCAGCCCGGCATAGCCTTACCGAGTCCTCAGGAATTAATGGGGCGTATTCTGGTGAAAAACAAGAAACATCGCACCCACCCCAAGGGGACGGAAGGCAGCGTGCGGAAACGGCTTCTGGAGCAGACGCCCAGCTCCTACAGCGATTCATCCGGGGTGGGCGAGCCCGGCTCTCCTGCCCTGGGTATGTGCACGAAATGCTTCACTTTTGGCAAAAAGACCCTCTCGGTCTCAGGCTGGCAAAGAAGCCCAATCTTGCCATGCCTCGGTGCGGGCACCGTTCAAAACCCAACGCTGATGCGTTTGGGAAGGGGACCAGAGCCGCGCTGGCAAGAGTTGGGATTTCTCCCCCTCCCCTTTTTTAAATATATATATGTTTTAAAAGGGAAGATAAAAACGAATGCCAACTCATGTAGAGTAAGAGAAAGGAAAGAAATCAAAGGAAAAGCTGAAAGTGCAGGAAAGGAAAGAAAAAGAAGAAAAATAGAAAAAAGATACCAAAAAATAGGTTCTGATCTCCTTTGCAGCAGTTATAAATTTGTCTCTTACTCCATGGCGGTGTTTCTCAACCTCGGCC